AATAAAAAAAAAAAAAAAAAAAAAAAAAAAAAAAAAAAAAAAAACTATGAAAACAAATTCCTTTAAGCTAATGAACTTCTATGACTGTAATGAGATAAGTAAAACATGCAATCATTTAGTGTTTTTTTTGCATTTTTTTTTTTTTTTTTGTTTAGGCGCTCTTAATACTAAAAATTTGGAAGTGATTTGTACCACCTTGAAGATTATACAACAATTGGTTCTATCATCAGACTCGGTAGGCCCGGCATTAGTACCTTTCTATCGGCAATTGCTACCCATGTTTAATGCTTATAAAGTGAAAAATTGTAAGTTTTTTCGCCTTAACGATTAAAACGGCAAACAATTCTATATCGGATTTATAAACGATTTTTTTATTTTTATAAAGTAAATTGTGGTGACGAAATTGATTATTCACAAAAGAATAATTTAAATGTCGGCGATTTAATTGATGAAACGTTACAAGTATTAGAGCTGCATGGCGGTGAAGATGCTTTCATTAATATTAAGTACATGGTCCCTACTTATGAATCCTGTTACTTGAATTAAGTTTATCTTAAGAGCAGCAGCAGCAGCAGCAGCAGCAGCAGCACGCGAAAATAAAATATAAAACTTACGCTCACCTAGCATGTTACATTTATATAGTTTAAGAACTATTCGCTTAAATCGCTAAAGCTCAAAACTTCACCTCAATCAATATTCACGTTCTATTCACTCATGCTCGTTGAATTTTAATTAATTGTTACGATAAGTTTAATTGTAGTTCAGACTGAATGCCTTGTTGTTTTAATGAAAGATTATTGCTATGTTTATTATTATTATAATTCATTTATTTAATTTTTATTAAAATAGAAACAACGAAAACAAATAAGTGATTGATTGAATGGAAGATTTGTTTCTAATTTATTTATGTTTTTACAATTTTTTTTTTTTTTTTTTTTTTTTTTTTTTTTAAAAAATTTTTTTTAAAAAGTTTTGTAAAAAATTTAAAAATTTTTTTACAATTTTTTTTATTTTTTTTTTTTTTTTGATTTTACATAAGTTTGATGAAAAGGTATTGCAAAAATTACATAATGTTTGTATCCATTGATGAGATTTTTAATTGTCGTTAGCACTCGTTTGATCGTTGATCGTGGCTGAGCCCATCGCAGCTGTAGTATAGGCAATGGGCTGAGAACAGGCAGTCATTCTGCAAAATAAATATAAAACGAAATGAAAATAAATGAAAAAAATTTATGCTTTATTATAATAATACAAGTAATATAAGTGAAAGAAGGAGGCACCAAAGGATCACGATAAGTCATAAATCTTTTGGCCATTGGAAGCACTGTGCAGGACAACCGTAAGCAAAAAGGTTCATCAAACCTTCCGCCATAGCACATAAACTACACGAACTAGGAGGAAGCGATCTATTGGAAGCACTGTGCAGGACAACCGTAAGCAAAAAGATTCATCAAATCTTCCGCCATAGCCGGGAAAACAGGAGTATCTTCAATACCGATCCATGCAGTTTCTGCCAGGGGACGAGTAATGCGTCCCCTCATATTTTGTAGAAATGTGAGGCCATCTGCAGAATCAAGTACCAAGTGTTTGGCGAGCACTTGATAACGCCAGACGCGGCTTGATCCTCCAAAGGAAAGAAGGTGACGAGATCCATAAAATTGAAGGCATAGGAACATGGCCGAGTCACAGTACGGATTGCAATTAATAATAATAAAAAAAAGTCTAGTTAAATATATTTTAAATCTAATTTATAAACAATAAGATTAATTTTGGGATCGGCAAAGCAAACTATGGCAGAAGCCACTATAACAACTCACTGGAAATATTATTTAAAAAATTGGTAAAAAGTAAACAATATTTCTGCCATCCATAATTAGAAGAGTGAACATATAACGGCATCAAAATTTAAAATCGTTATTTGATAATAATAATATTCGTTTAGCCATTGCAGGCCCTCCAGTTCTCAAATTCGATCTAAAATCGACAATTTTGTTGGCTTTTTCTTAATTCTTGTAACAACGAGATTTCCAACAATCGATGACAAACGTACTGGAGAACAAAACTAAATCGACTCAGACCCTTTCTTTCTCATCGGCCAGCTGCTGGCAACTTAGATAAAATCAAGGCTCTCATCGAGGCTTTAAATAATCGAAGACGAACGTATGGGAAGGTTAAACTAAATTCACTCACAACCCTTCTCGTCGATCAGCTGCCAGCAAGTCTGATAAAGTCAAGGCATTAATCGACTATGGATTTCTAATAATCGATGACAAACGTACCTGAGGTCTAAACTAAATCTAAATCGATTCAGAACCTTTCTCGGCTAGCTGCCAATAAGTCAGATAAACTCAAGGCTCTCATCGACTTGGAACATCTAGTTAAGTACTAACAAAATTACACTGATTGATTAATCGTTTCCAGATATTACAATAATAATATAATAAATATAAATATAATAAAAAAAGGTTCTATTTTTACAACAAACTTATACATATATTTCCTACGTGGAATTGTGAATACATTCTATAATGTATTTCATAAGACTGGTCATGGATGTTAAATTCATCTTTGTATCAAATTAGCACAAAATACATATATAAGATTATTGGTTAATCGAATTATACGTAAACTTACTTTGACTGCTGCTCATAGTCATTATCATTAAATACGTTGTTTTTGATGTTATGAGGCGAATAGCGATTGTAAATACTCCAAATAGAATTCATTAGCTTTTCATTGTATTTAAAGGGATTATATTCCATAACTAAAAAAAAAAAAAATTCAAAAGAAAAAATTATGAAAAAGGGAATGACTACGCGCACGTCTTATATTTCACAAAATGTGAAAATTTTTATGTAAAAAATTGTTTGCAGTAAGGGAAATTCATGTTTGCAATTCTAAATGGTAGCGGAAACTTCGGTGCAGAAACTTCTAAGCAAACTTACGTTTTTTGTTGCCACTTAAATTTTCGATTTCCTTATTATCAGCGTTTGTACGACGTCGTGAAATAGTCAGATCATATTCGCGCATTTTACAAGCGGCAAAGGCTCCTTGAGGTAAAGCAGACATATTCAAGCAATCTACGGAAAAAATATATATGTTGGTTTGGTTTCTCGATCAATTTCATTAATTTTTATATGGGAAATGATTTCGAACTTTGAGAAATTCAATAGATTGATTTTTTAATACTAAGTCTCGTAGCTCTAATTTGGTCGATTGGCTAAGAATAATCCATGAAATCGGAATATCAAAAATCGCTTCGGATCAAAATTGTTTTGAAATACACTTGAGGTTTCCTGCTGTCATATTTAGGAGCTAACGCTAATCAAAGTTGAAAAAATTAATAGCTTAACCAAATTGAAAGTAAGTAAGCGTGAAGCATGCCTTGCAATCGGGCATGCATTGATAGGACGTTCGGTGAAGATCATACGAATGCAGCCAAAGGCAGGTAGGTAGAATTTTGACAATAGTTTTGACCAAGGGAAAGCTGATTGAAGAAATTCGTTTATCATCATACATAAACTAATCAGTGAAGTATTCTTCATGTAGCTTTTATTATTGAAATGGTTTCTCATCAAGCAAGAAGATATCTGCTTGTACACGAAGCGAGCCACTGACAGATGACTGACAGTTTTCTCACAAACATGAGTAGATCTAAAATGTCTGGCATTGATGTTTCATAGGTAAATTGTTAATGGCATCAGACGATGTGCCAGTGAAACTTACGCACTTTAGCCACTATGTTTGTTTACATTTAGTGCATTTATTAGGAGATCGTCTATATGCAATTTATCACTTTATTGCAACCATGCTCTATTAGAGGCGTTTAATTCATTATTTTTGAATATTACGGAATCTTTCCTAAATAGGTCCTTTTTTTTTTGAAAGAAGTTGACGTGAAATGAGAATTTAAGGTTAGGCCGAGCTAAACATTTATTGATTTTTTTGTATTGCGAAATGATTCTCTTAGATTTCTTCTTGTTCTTCATATCAAGAATTTCTTATTCACTTATTCACTTTTTACAGATTAGCTTTTAATTAATTAATCTCAATTTATAATTATTTACGCATTTACCTTTGCATAGATCAAACACATCAAATTGCTGACAGTTCTTATCAATTTTCAATTGTTTGTGATTATTTAAAAGATTAAAATAATCTATTGCTGCCAAGATTTTATCACAGAATTCTATTCTTAAACTTTTCGAAGACAGCATTCATAAAATATTCACTTAGGGATATTTTTTTTAATAATATTTATCTGAGTGAATTTATTTACATTAAAACCGAGACGGCGATTTTTTAATTAAACGTTAGAAGCGTTGATTAAACACAAGACGATTGATAAGCTTCCCAAAAAGACCTCCATATATATATATATATATATACATGCATATATACGTAAAATAAAACAAAATAATAAATAAAAAACACTGAAACGAAAGCTCTATTTAGAGATAATGCATGAGCAATTAGAGACGTTCAATGTTCATTAAAGAGAAGAAAATTGAACTATTCTAAGCATTTAAATTGCTTTTGTTAGGCTTCTATTGTATCTGTAACAAAGGAGATTTGGTGGGCTTGAAGCAAAAAAAAAAAAAAGAAGGTTGCAAATTTGGGTTATCAATAACTAAAAATGACAGACAGACAGATTTGTTTATTTCATTTGGAATATTTGCCGCCTAGTGTCTAGGTTTAAAAGATAGTTTCCAGGCTGCTTTTCTTAACATCCCTTAATAATTAAAAGAGAAAAAAACAAGAAAAGAAAACATAGTTACATTATCGCAAACCGAGACAATGCCTTGATCGAATCGAAAAAGTACATCGGTATTATTTTTACATAAAAGCTTAAGTTTGATAGATACTGTTGTCAAATTCTACATGGTTTCAACTTTTAGCTATTGTAGGAGCATTTGGTAGCGATCAATCTTGTCTTAAAACTTATGCTAACATATACATGGTAGTACTTTGCCATTGCGCCACATCACTAGTCATCACAAGAGCTCGTGACTGATTTCTCTTGTCAAGGGTCTTGGGACTTTTCATCAATTTTCATTTTCCAAAACAACAGTCACAATACAACACTGCAATTTTAATTTTGTTATAACACAGAGTTGTTATGTTACGAATATAACATAGAAAATTATGAATCTTATTATAACACAGAACTGTTAAGTTATGAATGCAACATAAAAGAAGTGCTTATCACTGCTTTGCGACTTTTATCGTCTGTGTGACGTGTAAAAGGACTAGCACTTTCGCTCAACATGAACATTTTTTAAATTAATTTAATTACCAGGAAGGATATTTTGCTTGGCAAGTGAAATGTAAATTCTGAGCAACAATTTAGTACACTAATTGAAAACCAGTTTCGTGCACCACTATTTTTGCCACAAATTTAAATAAAATTTCACATCGCTAACTTGCTTTTGTTTCGATTCGTGCTGTCGTAAACTCGTTTGGAATATATGGTAATAAATCAAACTATCTCAAGGCGGATAGACGCAAACATTAAATCTGTTTAGAAATGTATTCCTAAAATTGTTCTGTAACGACTACTATAATAAACAGTGGGTCCTGTTTCCTCTTTGTGACATATTGTATAAATATGAAATACAAAATAACATCGATCTTATGAGGGCGGCGTGAGAATTGAATAGTTTCTATAACTCCTTGTTGGAAATATGCAGCAAGGTTGAAGACCAGCTCAAGAAAAGTTAGCAAATACGATGTTATCTAAATGCATGGATTATTAAATGGAAAAGTGTTTTAGGTAAGGATACGTAGATATTTTAGATAGAGGGAAGTCAAAACTATCGAATTCTAGAGTTATCTACCCTGGTATTTTCTAATTTTTTATCATTTTTATTAGTACAAGTCAAAATTTTGCAACCACTTAATATGGAGATCAAAATGTAGTTGCTGGAAGCTATAACAGGCACGAGGATGCTGCTTGTAATGTACTGCTCCAAATTTCTCGAAAATAACGTGACGACAATAAAAGAAAATAAGTACATATTATAATAGATTTTTAAATGAAAAAAGGTGGTCTAATTACTCACTTTGGTTACTGCGATTTTTAGAATTAATTTTTAGCTCCTTTAAAAGTGAATCATTCTAGGAGTGAAAAAGTTTTTTTAATTACACAGGCCTAGAATCAGTGTTGTCAGTGTTGTAAATTCACTAACCTGTTAACCAAAAGTAAAAGAAGGAAAAAAAGAGCTGCTGTACAGTGTCATTTATACGATGCATTTAGATTAATCGGGTAACTATGTAAAAATGCTAAAAGTACGCACGTGGAGCATGCCCGGTTACTAAATGAAACAATGTAATTTGTTATAGCTAATAGAAATTATTATCGAACAGGTGCTTATAAGAAATAACATTCGTGTGATATAGTAAAAATTAAAGTAGCAAATGTAGACGCGTAATTATGTTTAGTACGAGTTTTGGTTTTCTGTAAACACGGCAACATTGTTTCAACATATTTTTGTTAGTCGATGTTTGCTTGCCACACACGGAAAAGACGCAAGTTGAATTGCATATTTGCGTAGTGTATTAGAGGGAAAAGTAAAATTTTCTGTAAATGTTTGTTCAAAGAAGATAATTTCCTAAAAGGAGAATTCCCAATGTAAAATTTGAAATTGAAAGCATATTTTGGATATGATTTTATAAAATTTATGTGAGTAGTCGAAATTTTCATTTCTATAACTAGTTTAAATGTGGGTGAAAAAGAAAGGGAAACTAGAAATAAAATAGTATCTAAAACAACTTTTCAGGTATTTATTGCGAAGAAAGCAAAACGCAAAAAATAAATTAAGAAGGCGCCACCGTAAATTTATACAACACTTCGGTTATAATCATATAAAATAAACGAATGCAAGATGAGTTCCTATTCGCATGCCGATCCCATCGCCTTGAGTTTCAATGAGACATGCCTTCGCATGTCGGATATACAATTACTGCAAGGACCCCATTGGTTAAATGATCAAATTATATCGTTTTACTACGAGTACCTGGAGCATGTGAAATACAAAAATAATCCGGATTTGTTGTTTGTGCCGCCAGAGGTGGCCCAATGTATGAAATTAACAGATGATGGCGAGTTGGAAACTCTATTTAATCAATTGGAAGCGCCGAAAAAACCTTTCATATTTTTTGTTCTGAACGATAATGATAGTACACATGCCGGTGGTACGCATTGGTCCTTGTTAGTGTTTTCAAGGCCGGAGAAGACTTTCTTTCATTTCGATAGCTGGGGCAGTAGCAACACACAGGCTTCCCATCAATTTGTGCAGCGTATCAAGGACGCCTTAAATTGTCGCAATTGCCATGTAAAGGCAATACGATGCCTTCAGCAGGCCAATGGATACGATTGCGGCATACATGTAATCTGCATGACCGATAATATCGCGGACAATGTGAATCGTTACGAATGCGTAGAAGGTGTAGGGCCTTTACATCACGATATAATCAGTGCAAAACGATCGGATTTACTCAAATTAATACAGTCGCTGGGCGGCAAAATTTAAAATTTTTACGTTAATATAATTTTCCATATTTATCGCTATATCACTACCTCTTAATACACAAACTCACTGCTCGCACCATGTTCTGCTTTATTTTCTTCTTTATTTTTTTTTACCAGACGTAAGTTGATGTATGTGTTCTAGCATTTAAATTTCATTTTTTGTTAGTAACGCCGGTAATTTTTTAAAGAAAAAAAAAAGAAATGAAACTTCCATCAAAGGGAAGAGGGAGTGAAATGTATTTCTTTAAAAAAGAAAATGTTTATCATTCACATAACTTAGGGTAACCAACTCCAAATTATATGAACGAAGAAAATGTTTAGCTTACTTTTTGTTTGCTTGTATAACTCACACTTAAGTTTATGAATTACTTAATTTATTTTCAAATATTATTTTTCCTTTCTTTTTCTATCTATGTTTTTTTTTTTTGAATGATATTTTGAAAGCAATGAATTTGATTTTTTAGCTTTACGTTTTTTTTTTTTCTTGTACTTGGCTTTTTGAAAAGAATTTTTCCATAAGTTAGAAATTTTTGTATCCACCACGCCAAGGAAGATTTGTTGTAAAATTTGTAATGTTTATAAATTTTAGCAATCTTACTCAATAAGCTAAAATCCGATTTTCAGCTTGTCTGCTGTTGTTGTTGTAAATTATGGATTTAAAGAGATTGAATATTCTTAACAATAACTAAAAGACTGATGAAGCGTTAATATCTGGCAAATAAAATTTTGGTCTGCCCGATTAAATAAATATAACTACTATTCAAAATCCAAGTGGTGGATATTCGAAATTCGTTTTCGAACGAATATGATACCACTTCCCATTTTTTCAAGTCTAATTAGAAAGTATATATATAAAATGAAGTATATTGAAATCTTTAGTATGATAAACTCATATGCATACAATATATAAATATATGCATATACATATACATATATATGTATATAATATCAGCTTCATTTGAAATGAAATAAAACAATATTAAATATAAGCTTATATTATTAATTATTTATCAATGTTATATATAATTAGTGTAGTTCTCGGGAATCGAACCCTTTTAGTTATGCGATTGTGGAGCACAATATCTGTACTCTCGTTTTTATTTCAGAGGTTACAGGAACAAAAACGACTGTTGCTGATCAAAATAGGCACAAACTTACCATATTTATTATATTCAAGAATTTTGAATTGGAAAACATTATGACAAATGTACCGTATTTTTCGGACTTTAAGGTGCATTTTAAATTTGTAAAATGATTTTCAGAAATACAAAATTTTAATGTTACTTTCGGAACAAAGTGTTAGGTGTTTGCAAAAATTTTGATCATTTTTTCACTTGAAAAAGACACTTATTGCGGAATATATATTAATCAAAATATTCCCATCAGTTTCGACAAGATTTTATAATATTTTTAGCAACGTGGCGATATCAAGTCGAAAAAACTTATATTGACTTGGCAGCGATCAACCCACTGACCCGTTTTCGCACTTCAACTTTGCGGACCTGCGTGCCGGTCAAGCCATGCTGCGCTAATCTGAAGAAGTGGTAACCAGGAGGCGCCATGTCTGGAGAGTGCGCTGGGTGTGGCAAAACTTCCCATTCGAGCAGCAACAGTGTATCCTGGACAACTCTTGCAACAAGTGACCAAAAAAAGGGCATTTTCAGTCAACGCGAGGCGTCACTTTTAAACCGTTGAAACCAAAACCGACAATTGGAATGTAATGGAGCAGTGTGACCGTGTTTGGTGGGCTTCGGCAGCAGTTGTCTTCAAAAAAACAACAAAAGTAATGAATTTGAAGGAAGAGGAATTTTGACTGCTCTATGATTAGCATCGACGTAGGCTGAATATATCAATAATATTAAATGGAAAACTGGTAATTTGTGCGGAGGGAGATCAAAACCATCGAATTCGACCCTTGTGTACAATGGTATTTCATATTTTTATTTATCATTTTTAATTGCGAAAGTCATGGATCAAAATTGTTGCAAATTTCTAATATATTGATAAGGCGTGTTCATACGTGAAGTTGAATTTCCATGTGCAAATATTTCTCTCTTTTCGTCGATATTGTCGTTGTTTTCAAAATGCTAACAGACTAGTGGACTAGCACTGTTCAATATCATTTTAAACTTATTTTCTGCAACTAAAGTGAACAGATTTCCATTAAAAACGGGAAAGTCTATCGTTACATCTTAAAGACGTAAATAGTCGTGCCGGATATGTCACCATTTTGAACGCTTTAATTCGGAAATCAAATTTAACAAGTCAGAAAGTTATATTCGACCGAATATATATGGGACCGAATCTCGTATATCCATTATAATGCTTTTCGCATTCTACTCTCCAAGTTCTTTTATTTGATACCCATATCGCTCGTATTATTAAGAAAAAATTAATCACGGTATCTACCATATTTATTTTAACATTAACCCATTTTTAACCAGATACTATATCTCCATTTGAGAAGTGTACAAAATAGTTTTAAACATTGTTTTATTTGCCTTGTGATAAATAAGCATAAAATCTCAAAAAAATGGAAAAAGTAAAATTTAGTTAGTCGCAACTTTGCGTGGGCATGGCCAATTGATTCCATTTACAGACCTAAAAATTAGACCGCTTCGTAAATGTGACAAATTTTAGCCTTCTAACTTTAATAATTTCGGAGGAACGAGCAAAAATCCAAAAATTTTTGTTTAAAAAAAAAACTGAGTCGCCTTCAGTTTATGCTCCATTGCACGCTTTTGTTCTAACCAAATTGTCCCATTTTCAATGCCAACCTGCGTGCAGAAAGTTCCAATGTTTCTATTAAATATGAAATCGATACCTTCATATTTGCCACCGGAATTGTGCAAAACCACACCCACCAAACAGACACATAAACGGATGGATCAAATTTGAATATCACGCTGAACAAAAGGAATATACCCCCCATCTTACAGTAACGGTTATAAAAATGGGAAATAAATTCAGCTGCTAGAAGGCATATTTAAAATGCAATTTCCATTCCAGTATATTTTTATACTATGCATAAAATATCAATTTGAAAACGAATAAAATTGAGGATAAGAATAATAGCCGTCCGGTGAAAAATACAAAGCACATTAATAAATAAAAAAAAAAAGGTCTTATTTGTTGTTCGTTGGGAAGCAAAAATTCTGGATTGGACAGCCTACTTACACATAACACTATACTTGAACTTATTGAAATAAATTAATTATTGAGTGATGAGTTCGGTAAAGTAAGCCATGCATTAATCATTTCGATGAGAAATCAATTGAGAGATAATTCTTTTAGAACGTGTAATTTATATATGAACGGTTTAACAATTAATTAGTTGGCGAATAAAAGGAGATCTTGTATTGCAGTTCTTCTATTAATCGCTGATTTCTGGTCGCACCCAACCGCCAAAAGCTCGTTCCAATTCCTCAGCCACCGCCAAGCACAGACGATCCTGATTGCAATTTGCAATTATTTGTACACCAATAGGCAGTCCTTCACTACCCAATTTGCCCAGTGGCACCGAAGTGACCGGTAAGCCTAAAATATTAACTATTCCGGCATACGAGAAATCATAGGGTCGAAAGATGGGTTCTATATGGTAAGGAGCTACGGTCGGATGGGTGGGATAAATAAGGACACCATCATTGCTGAGTAAATTTGCTACATCTGTTCTTAGTTTGTTACGTTTGCTGACTAATTCACAATATTTTGGCGAACCATACCGGCATTGGGTTTTCTCCACTATAGCGATAAGTAAACCAATAAAAGTGTGTTCACCTCCAAACAACAATTTTAGCATTTCTATGTAAGGGTTAATAGGATTTTTTAGATTGCCTAGTAGATGAACGTGTCCATAGCCGGAATCATTTTTCATACTAGCGGCCCACATCGCGGCCGAGTGGCGAAATTCCTTTAGTTGTATTTTTTCAACGGGACTATTAAACTTTTTTCTCAAATGGTTTGCCACGCGATTAATCCCGTCAACTATATCACGATCCACTTTTGATACATTACGTCCGCCGCCATCGTTCTCTTGATAAAAGTATTTCAATTTACTCAAATCAACAGGTTCATCTAGATTTAATTGCTCGGCTTTTTCTCCAGCTATAATCTTTAAAATCGGTCTTAAATCTTCAGCATGACGAACCATTGGTCCTATACCTAAAAATGAATATTGTTCTTCGGTAAAGGGTTGTGGGAATTGCCCCTTATTGGAAACCACGTTTTTGCTGGGCTTATGGCCAAAGATGCCGTTAAAAAAAGCAGGCATACGTATGGAACCCCCTATATCTGATCCTAGACCGAGGGGTGAAGCGGCAGCAGCCTGCATGCAGCCCTCACCACCGCTTGAACCACCCGCTATACGACTGGTGTCGTACGGATTGTTAGTACGGCCATGTACGAGATTATTACTTTCCCACCACATGCATAACTCCGACACATTGGTCAAAGCGAATGGTATAGCTCCTGCGTTACGCATTAAAGCAATTGTATCGGCATCCTTAGGAGCGCGATAATTACGCCTGCTATATAAACCGGATGTGTTTAGCATACCTTAATAATAAAAAAAAAAAGAAAAAAAGGATAAATAATCCAAAACAAAATCTTATTTATAGATTGTTCGCTCACCTCTCACGTGTATGCAATCTTTTGTGGAAATGGCCACACCTAGAAAAGGCTTTTCCTCTGCTAGCTGCTCTTCAGTATATTTACGGGATCTTATCAAATCATCTGCAGCTTTCGCCTCTAACAAAGCGTCTTTAAAACGTTGATCTACCATGCAGTTCAACAAAGGATTTACGTCGTTTATACGTTTGATAAACGCTTTCGTAACCTGGACGCTGGACAGCTAATATAAAAAGCAAATATAGATAACTTTGTTACGTTTCAAAAAATTTTGTATTTTTTGTAATTAAGCACTCACTTCCCGTTTGCGTATTTTTTTAGCCAAAGACGTAGCCGATTCTAACAATATGGGATCGGTGATGACCGGCATTCTGTCACCCTTTGTACCATTAAGCAAACGAAAACCAATTCTCACAATTTTTTTACAAATATGAGAAATCCAGTTGCCAATCGTCACGAAAGCAGTATATGCTGCATTTATTTTATCAACGTTACGGGGGATATATATTTTAAAAAAGTTGTCCCGAATTATTTGTCCTATGTTCGTCTTTATTTTACCATTATTACTATTTAGATTAATATTTGTAGAGGAGTTTGTAAATGAACATCTGCGAAAACGAAAACAATTTGATTTCTTTGGGAAAGTATTTTGAAATTGCAGTTGCCTTCCAACGCTACCTATTAAACGTATTCAAGATTTGTATCGAATATCTTTTTATACGATTCCCTATTTTCCGCTAATTCGGTATCTAATGCATCTTTGGTTTAGAATTCAAATTTTTCAAAGCTATGATTTCTTCAATAATCGGAGTGAGTTTGTGAATTTTCTTGTGCCACTTTTTCCTTCTTCGAATTTGAATTCGCGATGCGAATGCATTTTTGTTTCGCGAATGCAGCGTTCTAGCTTTAAGGTTAAGATTAGGAAAAGGGAAATCTTCTTCTTCTATTTTCTAATCTATCTTAAGAGATAAGTTAGAACAGCAACTTGCCAGAAAGATCGAGAAAGAAAAGAGAACAGACGGAACAGATTTTAATACTTAAGCTTTTTCAAATTTTAGATTCTTACTCTTTGTAAAAATTACTTAATTTCTATCCTCTGCAATTGCAGTACTCAGTCAGCCTGCTTCTTCCAAAGCCGACCGGCGAGAACTCGATTCGCTTGGGCAGACTGGCAAACTGGCCAAGTGACAAAACTTACCTATGAAAAAACTTTACGACTTGTCGACCTATTAGGAATTGCTTAAGGTATACCCTTCGAATTACGTCCGCACTGCGAGAGAACATATTAAAACCGGCCCGCAGCAATTTTGTTAATCTTTATGTTGCGTGCAGATTAGTTCCCATTCAGCTATTTTTACAAATTTTTGAAAAATTTTCTTTGTGACATAAGTCCAAAAATAATACACAAATTTTTTAATTGAAAAGGGTGATGAATAAATAAATAACTAAGAAAATGAGAAACTGTTAAACGGCTTGCTTGTTGAATTTTTCCGGGCAAGTATTCAGGCTAACTTATATAAAGTTCCATCAAAATAAGGAAAATCATGATTCAGCATTCCTTTTTCCCGTAGCTTCTTTTTCTTCCATATCGTTTGGGGGAAAGCATGCCAGTTTAGGTCGGCTCTTTGACAGCAAAGCATCTCGCGAGAACTAGAGAAGCTTATAACTTTGTCGATTTTAAAGCCTGACTGATTCGACGTTAGAAAGACCATATTTCTGCGCTGTGAAGGCAACTATAGAAGGTGGTAGTTAGTAAAAATGAAAAGACTTAGTCGACTTAGTCGGAATCCCGGTAATTCTATTCACGACATTTAATTACAAGGTAGGGTGAAGTGAACGCGGCGTATATATCGATCATCCAGCGAGTCGTCCATATGCTTGCCCTTTACTTATTTAATATTTTATACGACGACATGTGTATAGGTAAAGTATTTTCTCTTCACACACACACACTTGTTGGGACTTGCCTTGACTCGGATCTTTTATCAAGGGGAAAATACAAGAGACAGCTGAAAGCTACTAAATTTTGATAATGTTATCGTAAAAAAAATTGGAAAACCCATTTGCTTTTTGTGATAGTGGTCGGAACCGTTTAAATTGCTTTTCAAACTTAACCCAATAAATCCTTTAAACAAGTTATCTAACAACAGAGTTTCTTGTGCAGCTGTATGAGCCTTGCAAATATTCGCAGTATATTTTAGTCTAATTTTTCTCCAAAATTCTTGAATTTTTTTAGGTTAAGGTCGACTTCGATTATATATGTTGTTAGCTCAATTATATATTTTGTTATCCTAAATCCAGTTTATTCCAATTAATGGATTTTCCTAAATAATAAATTCCCTAGAGAGAGAAAACCCAAGTGCACATTCGCGGCGCGTCATGCAACTGCCGGCCGAAGAAAACGATTAACGGGAAAGCAGATTAACGGATTAAAATTAAGCCATGAACTTAGGTAATAGTAATGTGCTTGTAAAAATATACATAAAGAGACTATTTGCGGGAGGCAGTGTCAGTCGGACAAGAACCTTTGAGTCGAAAAAGAATATTAGAGTTCAGAAGTCGAAAGTATTGCCAAAGTAAAATGTGAACAGACCTCCCCTGACACAAATTGATTGTAAATAAGAGAGTAGTGTAGTGAAAACGTGCAAGTATGTGTGTTTCTCTTAAAAAAAATGTCCTCGATCCAGTGATGCGAACCGTATTCGTGAAAAGCGAATTTCGTAACAACATATGTATGCATGGATATATATTTCTCATTTCAATTTTCCCGACGATGAAAACGAAAATAAGATACCGACCGGCGATCGAACAAATTTGAGCTAATGTAAAGTGTAGCCCTATAAGCGCTTAGAAGAGCTGCTCAATACGACATAATCAAAAAGTCTTGGTATTCTTTATAGAAATCATGGATGAACGGCGAGCAAAGTCCGCTTATTATATTCTCTGTCTCGAAAAAGATATAAAAAGTTTTCCTGCATAACTTCGATCGCTAACAAGTTCTGAATGGAGGTACCAGCGTCCGCCTCTCAATCTCCGTAGAGTATGTTTACTCGTAATCACAAGAATTGAACAAAAAAAAAATTAACCTAACCGCATATATTAGTTTGGGGAAAAAGAAAACCATTATTTTTTCGGTAGATGGCTACACTGTTAGATTTCTCGTAAAGTATCGATCAAAAAATTTCAGATTTATGCTCTTTGGAAAGGTGACATTTCGCAGTAAAAAAAATTCTTTTGCTGTTTTTTGTTTGGTGCATTCAGTTGTGAGTTACAGCTTGTTAAAAATGGAAGTGAACAAAGAGAAAATTCGGTACATTTTACAATATTTCTTTGGCAAAGGCGAAAATGCAAGCCAGGCGGCTAAAATTGTGAATGGTGTTTATGGTTCCGATACTGTAACAGCCAATTATGTGCAATTTTGGTTTCGTAGATTCCGTTCAGGAATTTTTGATGTTAAAGATGCACCTCGCACAGGTAGGCCGGTCGTCGAAAATGTCGATAAAATCGGAGAAATGATCAAAGTTGACCGGCATGTTAGCAGTGGTAACATCGCCCAGGAGCTAAAAATCGACCATAAAAGAGGTTTAAACCATTTACACAAAGCTGGATTCAAAAAGAAGCTCGATGTTTGGGTGAAACGGTTGGTGACTGGAGATGAGAAATGGATAACATACGATAACCCTGTGCGAAAACGATCGTGGTCAAAGAGCGGTGAAGCACCTCAAATGGCCAGGAAGGTTTTGCTATGCATTTGGTGAGACTGGAAGGGGATTATTTATTATGAGTTGCTTCCATATGGCCAAACGCTAAATTCTGATCTCTACTGTCAACAACTGGACCGTTTGAAGATAGCGATTGACCAGAAACGGCCAGAATTGGCCAACAGGACAGGTGTCGTGTTCCACCAGGACAACGCTAGCCCACACACATCTACAGTGACTCGGCAGAAACTTCGAGAGCTTGGTTGGGAAGTTTTAATGCATCCGCCATACAGTCCGGACTTGGCACCAAGCGATTATCATTTTTTTCTTGCATTGCAAAATTTCTTTAATGATAAAAAATTGGAATCTAGGGAGGATTGTGAAAATCGACTACTAGAGTTTTTTGCAAATAAAGACCACGACTTTTATGAGAGAGGCATTTAGAAGTTACCTTTAAAATGGCAACAAATCATACAACAAAACGGTGCATATTTGACCCAAATCGGACAATCCGAAGCACGTTAAATAAAGTCCTGAAGTTCATATAAAAATAATGGATTTCTTTTTCCCCAAACTAATATTTTATTTTAAATTTACGGGCCAAGTATTCGATCGATCTAAAAAATTGAAATTTTCAATATATTTTCGTTATCGATACTGTACGGCGGCTTGAAATGGTGTGCAACTATTACCTCTTGGAACCATTTAATAGTTTAGGATGCATTTGCATGTTTATGTGTCCGATCAGCCTCACAATAAATCCCGAGACGAGTGCAATTTTCTTAGTTGATTTTCTATTAAAATTTCAATAGACGCAACTTATTGATTGAAGTTTCAACCTTGAATTTTTCTCTTAATAAAGAAATAATGTTTTTTAATTGCAATATCAGCTCAGAAAACCCTCTTATTATTATTAATTGTACATTTAATTATACATAAATATCTATGCATCTTTGTGTTTGTATAACATTAAATACTTGTTTAATATAAAAAGATCTACAAAATATACGGTATATCGGTTATTAGGTTTCTTCCTCTAAATGCTTATTTGTGGTCGAACCCAACCCCCAAAGGCTTTTTCTAATTCCTCTGCAACTGCCAAACATAAACGATCCTGATTGCAATTGGCAATTATTTGTACACCAATCGGCAGTCCTTCACTACCCAACTTGCCCAGGGGCACAGAAGTCGCTGGAAAGCCTAAAACATTAACAATGCCGGTATACGAAAAATTAATAGCTCGAAATAGCGGTTCAATATGGTAGGGTGCTACGGTGGGATGAGTGGGATATATAAGGACACCATTATTGCCAAGTAGTTCTTCCATGTCTGCTCTTAATTTGTTGCGTTTTTTAACTAAATGATGATATTTAGGCGAACCATATTGACATTGAGCTTTATCCAACATGGCGGTAAGTAAACCGATAAAGGTATGTTTAGCGCCAAAAAACCATTTAAGCATCTCTGTGTAAGGATTTATGGAGGTCTTTAGGTTACCTAGTTGACGTTCAAATCCGTACCCGGAATCATCTTTCATGTTAGCGAACCATAAAGCAGCCGATTGGCGAAATTCCTCTATCTGCATTTGTTTTACAGGTACATTAAATTTGGTTTTCAAATGTTTCACAATACGATGAATGCCATCAACAATATCATGATCGACTTCCGACACATAACGTCCGCCGCCATCGTTCTCTTGATAAAAGTATTTCAATTTGCTCAAATCAACAGGTTCATCTAGATTTAATTGCTCGGCTTTTTCTCCAGCTATGATCTTTAAAATCGGTCTTAAATCTTCAGCATGACGAACCATTGGTCCTATACCTAAAAATGAATATTGTTCTTCGGTGAAGGGCTGTGGGAATTGCCCCTTATTGGAAACCACGTTTTTGCTGGGCTTATGGCCAAAGATGCCGTTAAAAAAAGCAGGCATACGTATGGAACCCCCTATATCTGATCCTAGGCCGAGGGGTGAAGCGGCGGCAGCCTGCATGCAGCCCTCGCCACCACTTGAGCCACCAACAATACGATTGGTATCGTACGGATTGCGTGTACGGCCGTGAACGACATTATTACTTTCCCACCACATGCATACCTCCGACACATTGGTCAAAGCGAATGGTATAGCTCCTGCGTTACGCATTAAAGCAATCGCATCAGCATCCTCTGAGGCGCGATAATCGCGTCTGCTGTATAAACCGGATGTGTTTAGCATACCTTCAGTAAAACAAATAAAAATTGAAAGTGCACCATTAGTTATGGAATGTGTTTCATACCTTTAACAGCTATACAATCTTTAGTAGAAATAGCCACGCCCAAAAACGGTTTCTCTATGGCTAATTGTTTTTCCGTATATTTTCCCGATTTTATCAAATCATCAGCAGCTTTCGCCTCTAACAAAGCATCTTTGAAACGTTCATCTACCATACAGTTCAATAAAGGATTTACATCGTATATACGTTTGATAAACGCTTCCATAACCTGAACGCTGGTTAGCTAATATAATGCAAACATAGACAGATAATTATTCTCAGTTTGATGCGTTACATAAATATATAAAATTCATAAATAAACACTCACTTCCTGTTTACGGATTTTTTTAGCCAAAGACGAAGCCGATTCCAATAATATGGGATCTGAAATGTCCGGCATTTTTTCACCCTTCTTCCCGTAGATTAACTGAAAGGCGAAGCGGACAATCATGCTACAAACATGAAATGCCCAATTGCTAATCTTCATGCAAATCGTTGGTGCTCGCGGATCTTTCAACGTGCCCTCCCGTGAGGTGTCCATAGTTTTCGTTGACGGCGGGAATAATTTCTTTAAAAATGTTCTTCTGGAATGATTGATTGTCTTAATTGTTCTACTTCAAATATACTTCCGCATCTATATAGTGTTTTTTGGCGCGTTTATATTTTGTGGCCATCAATAGATTGCAAAGATAAATCTGAAAAAAAAATACTTCTCTTCATTTTCTTAATTACAGCAAACGCCGAGCTGAGCTTTGCCGGATTACGTAAATTTGTTTGTTGTTGTACAAGCAATATTTACACATTGCATTGTACGACAATGCCTTTGCTACCTAAGTATCATGCGCATGCGTCTATGACAAACTTAAGAGTTTTTATGCGTAGAACACAAACAGATCGGTCTGCTAACGATCACATGCTCTAGGTGATCTTACACTGACCTGCAATTTCTTTACGTTATTATATTGTATACTTTGTATACCTCAGCTAAACGGGGACTAAATTAAGCTTAACGACCTTGTTAAAGGCTTTCGAATATAGAATGCAAATACAATCGTATTTTTCCTTTGATCTTACTGGGAATTGGGTCACTCACGGATAAGTCAAAGTGGAAACTAAGTTGGAGAAAATAGTACGTTAATCATATATACAGTGAATCGCATTGGTATTGGATTTTCTCGCTCGACAAAAACTAAACGCTCGTTAAACTTAATCCATTGCCCAAACAGGGCGAGCATGGCAATGGTCATGTTACAGTTTGGGTGTTGCGTTGGAGCGAATGGAGTCAGAAAATTGTTGTTTGTGGATGGCATTCTCAACAAGGGGGGTTACTTAAATATATTAAAAGAAAATTTGAAAGAAAATAGGGATAAACTTTGTATTTTGGAAACATTCGAGTCCTACCAAGATGACGACCTGAAGCATAATTCAAAAATAACTCTTATATAACTGCCCGAAGGTGCTTCATCCCCTACCCCACTCAGCAGGCATGAATCCCATCAAAAATATGTAGATTGACTTAGACCGACTTGTACGAAAACACTCAATCCGTTCCGTTCAAGAACTGAAAAGCAGACTATAGAGGAATGGAGTGAAAGCCCTTTTCCCTACACAAGGAAAATTCTATAAAATAAGTCAAAACGTTTAAATGACCTTATTAGGCGAAAAGGATACCCCTCCCAAATATTAATTTTTAATAATATGCTGTTTTTTTCTACGTATCCTTCCTCATATGAAAAAACGCAATATTAATGACGCTATATTTTTGAAGTTGTTGAAGTTATTTACTGTCACTGAAGAAGTATTTTGTTTGTCTTTTTTTCATATTTTAATATGTATTCCCTACATTCAGTACAAAATAGTAAAATTAAGTTTTATGTCTGAACAATGGTTTAACAAGCCAGCCCGATATTAATGAAACTTACTACCTACATATATATATATATATATATATATATATATATACATATATATATATAATCATATATATATCAACAAAGTGTTGTTCAGTTTAATTATTGGATTTTATAGTAATGCATATATGGCCTTGGTTGCAACTAACTCTTATGTATAAATGATATGTAGTTTCGTAATAAAAAAAATTGTAAATTATCAAAATATATATAAGTGTAAACAAATTGTATATAGTGCGTACGTGTGTATATTATTAATACAGTAAAAACATTTTTGTTGTGACGCACATGTACATCAAATCGGGAATTATAATTAACATTAACACACAACGATGCATATCAATATATCTGTTGGAAGCTTAATTCAATATCTTTACCAGAAGTCGCCTGACGTAATCTTCACACCACATCTTTCAAATTAAAAATTAAAGCATTACGATTAAACAAGGTCGTCCATTCAATACCCTAAACCACGTTTCTATACTAATATAAAAATTTGAACCCTGAGAGCACATAACGACTTGATCGTCATGAAAGTTCGTATTATCAATATATCTTAAAAAAATAGATGCACACAGTCCAAACTTACCAAACTAAACTTATAAGTCAAATCATCGCTTTGTGAATATTTTCATCATAAAATTACGAAATCAAGAGCTTTCGCCATATGAAAGCTTATTTTCTCCAATATCTACTGCTATTATATTGCAAGGAGTTAGAAAAATGCGATTTTGCATCGATATTTGTCAAGAAATATTAAAAATGGGAAATCTTTTTCGAATGTTGAGTTTTTCAAAAAGTCGACAGAGGAGACGGTATGTTGTAAATATGATAATGGTCCGACCTAATCTATTGTATATTTACTCTTGGAGATCTAAGATAATAATATACTTTAGCTAGTCCGTACATAAAGCCCATAATATGTAGTGAATATCATTACTGTTTGTTGTTATCTTTTTTAAATTATTTTTAATTTCGATTTTTTTCGTTCGTTCTCTTTTACTTTTTACGTACAACAATTTTTCCATTGTTTATAAATTCCCAATATAGTTTTTCTCATATTATTTGTTTTGTTCGTTCATTTTCGTTTGGGTAAGGCAGAATATAAAAAGAACGATGGGAAGAAACGTCTAAAAGATAACTACAACAAAAAAACTAAAAAGAAAAAGACGACATAAAACGGGAAAGAAAACTATAAAGAAAGATCAGTAAGTACATAAAGGAATACGAAATTATATTACGATAATGTTACTATATATATGTACGGGAAGCCCCCCGTGTAACGTCTAAAATAATTATTCCTGAAACAAAGTCACGATATGTGAATGTCTGCGGGGCAAAAAAGAGGAAACTAAATGCAAATAATTCTCTTTTCGATATATTATATGTATCCTCCATACTACGTAATTATTATAACACAATTAATTCCGTTCTTGTTTTTAATAGAAGAAAGCAAAAGTATTATCCATATCAAATAATGTTTTCTTAACGATAATTGCTAAATACCGTTAACATATTCTTTTCTTTTCAAGCCTCTAAAGTATTATCATTCGATACGTTTTGTAAAAAGCACTTTATTTTAGTGCGGTCGCTCTTACCAGAAGGACCTTTGCAAATTTTTACACATAAGAGAAGTCAATTTTTCTGAATATCCTCCCTAACTCTGAGACTCTTAGACTGTTACGGAGTTCCATTAGAACAATTCTCCCGTTGTAGGCTTTCGTGTTTAATTAATCCCAGCTCCTATATATAGCATATACAAAAGGATAATTCTTTTGGGGAGTGAATGAATCACATGCATCATCCATTATTGCTTCAAATCCAATGCCAACATTATATGAAATCCAGTTGCACCTGTTGATGTCAGTTGTTTAATAATTTGGTGGGTTAAAATCTTTCGGATAATTGTTAGCTTGAATTTCAAAATAGCGATCGTTTTTTCTTTTGTTCAACAAAAAATTTGCCCTTTGCTGGCATGAAAGAGATTAAAAAAGACTTTTTGTATGGTTCACAGCAGTTGTCAATATTTTTTTTTTTTTTTAATTTTACATTAAATCACTCATTTATGTTTAAATTCAGAAATTTTTTCATCACTATGTAAGTCTACCATGCGATTGGCAAAAGCACACAAATTTTTACCGTCTTTTTAAATTTTGAATGAAATTAATTAATGTAATGAAAATTAACTATTGAATAAAAGTTTGACATAATCTTCTAACATGGACGTTGGACTGTTGAGATAAATATGCGTATACATATTACAGCATAAATATTTATATCAATTTTGTTATGATTCAGCCAAACTCGGTTTACTCAGTTTACAGTTTCATGCAATGAGTTTCATATTCAGTTATCGGGTTCCAGCAGAGACTTAAAAAATTATTCAGCCCATATCTCTTGCGAGAATTGAAAAAAAAAAACTTTTAAAACAGAATATAATCGCTTTTTAGAACTTATTTGTCGTTACAAAGCCATTTGTAATTATATTTATTAAATTAAAAATAGTTTATTTTCTCAATCATTTATTGACGCTTATTTACCTATTATTCCTTACATATTACTTGACACAATGACGACGAAATGATTCACATCAACACACAATAACTTGTAGGAGTATTATAAGTACATACTATAAGCGCATACGGGTAAATATTTACCGTAGAGAATATTATATTCATTCATTTGAAAAGTAAATTTACGAATTAATTTTCCATTCATACATTCACATTCACTCTGTAAAAAGCAGCAAGCAGTCCATGTCCATGTCTCATCATCGCTTTATATTTACATCAAAAAACATTTTATATGCGCATTTTTAAATACATGTTTGCACATATCATACATTTACATCACACAACTATATTATTTCTTTATTATCAGTAATTTTCAAAATATTTTTCTTTTTTCGTTAAAAAAATTGCATATTCTTTCCTTAATAGCTTAGTTGTGTCTTGATTTTATCTTATTTTAATTTTCTTACTATAAGAAGTGTAATCACGTATTACAAATAAAATAAAAGAACACATATATGGAGATACACAAAGACGCGCACAAACAAGTGTTTAGCAACTCAAATGTGATTTATCTTAAAACTTACATTATTCTTAACTGAACAGCTCAAACAGCTCAAACAATTCAAACAATACTAAAAAATATTATCCAATGGCTCCACATATATACATATACAAGCGGTCAGTAAACAAGTTTTCTTAGTATCTTTACAATCATTTCCGTAATTACGAGAAAAACTAACATTTACTTTTTGTTTATATGCATGTAAGAAACCATATGTTTTTGACATCAAAAAGTAATGTAGATACGTAAGAGTAAAATTTAACGGTTATCTAAAATCTACGTTTGCAATTCTATCAAATAATAAACATTTCAATATGGCAACTCTCTTTTTTTTGCAATTTAATTTTTTTAGTGTCTTAATATGAAAAAACTCTATTATTTCCTCCCTATAACAATTAATATTGTGAAAATGTTACGGTTTGGCAAAATAAAAATTTTTTATTTTAAAGATTTCTCGACATACTCGGAATGCGTCTTCATCATCAGAATGTTTAAACGTTATCTTTGACTGTAATGGTTCAGTTTAGTCTTTAGATGATTAGCCCATGTTGCTGGGCAGCTTCTAACTTTATCAGGAATTACGTTAAAAACGTTTGGTCAGCGACGTTTCTTCTTGAAACGCTGAAAAAGGTCTGTGTTGTAGGAAATCGGTGAAGTTCTCGCGTACCTTCGACAAAAACGATAAGTATGATTTTTTCTCTAAAGTCCGTTTCTACTCACATCGCCACTATTTAAAGGCACCATCAAAATTTAACTTCAAATAAACAATCCATGGCACTTTTTACGTCAGGATCATGTTCCTGACTTCACCGAAAGAAATCCAAAACCAATTCTTCCGAACAATTCTGGAAATATTAGAAAACTTTTGAAAAATGAAAGGAATAGCAATATCCGCAAGAAAACTGCAAAAGCAAACATCAGAAAGTTATACAGAAACTTAAAGAAAGTAAGAATCGAATTAACGAGCTAAAAATTAAATCGATTCAATGCGCCTGAATAACCGAATGGGCAAAGGTTTTCGACTAACAACTCAGTTATCATGGGTTGAAATTTTGCGGTCAAATTTTTAATTAAGCTGATAGCCTTAGATGCCAGTGCTTTAATCTGACAATAAACTACATTAATAATAATAATACCAAACTAATTTAATGTTCAAGAAACTAAAAAAAACTGACTACTAAGAGTTAGAAAACGTTAACAAATTTGATATAGGAATCGTCAGAATGTTTGCAAAACCAACGGAATTTAATAGCCTTGCTACTGAAATGAGCAAGATTTCAAACCAACTGAGATTAAT